GCTTCCTTCAGAGGCCCGAAGGCGGCCCAGGCTGCTCTTCTTCTCCTGTTAAGTTCTTTCCTCAAGTCGTTCTCCATGTTCATCGAACGTCCGAGATACCCGTAAGAAGACGTCTCCATGATAAGGGTGCCTTCCAATTCCATATATCTGCATCTTCGCAAAGGGCGTTCTTTATGAACTGAGTCTTCTTCCGATTTATTCGCAATCCGATCTCCTTCTCTACTTCGTTTAGTTCCTTCAGCATCGTCTTCTCTGCTTCAGGGATACTGCTCGAGAAGAGAGAACGATGTCGCCCGCAAGACGAGGGTTCGACAGGAGTTTCCCACCAGCTCATATGCCTCTCTCGTCTCAGTCCAGTGACTTCATCACCCACTGCAAAGCCGCGGTGAACTGTGTGCGCTGTCAGACCCCTCTCCAATTGGGGTGGTTAGGAGGCGATAAAACAGCTGCGTCGTCGTTGTACAGTCCTTCTAGCATCGGCTAATGTTTTCACGTAAGCTGGGTCCACTCCTTCATCGACTAGCGCTGACAGGATGGCGTTGGTTTCGACGCTGTCGACTTTCTCGTAGTCGACGAAGGTTACGATGAGAGGCAGTCGGTACTCCCGGCAGACTTCTATGACCCTCGAAACCGTCTGGATGTGGTCCATGCAACTGAATCCCCTACGGAATCCAGCTTGTTCTTGAGGTTGAGCTTCATCCAGTGACCTAGATATGCGAGTGAGGATAATCTCGTTAGAAGCTTCTACAGCAAACTCAGCAGGCATATTGGACGGTAGTTCCGAAGATCCTCTCGTTTGAAGAGAAGGACGGTTCTTGACGATCCCCACTGGCCGGGAATCCTCTCCTTCTGAAGGTAAGATGTCAGGTGCGACGCGAGAATCTCGTGTAGACGTTGTCCTCCGGCTCGCAGTAATTCGTCGGAAAGATGGTCTGGTCCTGGAGCCGTGGGCGTCTTCATGGTGTGAATCGCCGTGCGCACTTCAATCCTTGGTGGTATTTCTCAAGTGGGAACAACGGGCATTGGCACGGGTGTTGATGAGCGGAAGAGGTTGGTGTAAAAGTTCTTCGCGATAGATTCCATTTTGTATCGGGAAGAAGTCGGAGTCCCGTCTTCGTTCAATAGTGCAGCCAGCGGTACGTGATATTCGCAGAGATCTCTTCGGCACTTTTTGAGAATTCTTCTTCCTTCGGCTGCTTCCAGTATCTTGCTTGCCTGTACTTCCTGAGATCCTCCTGCAAAGCTGTTCTGCAACTGGGGTTAGCTGTCAGTTGCTCGAGATGGGTTGCATTCGGGTCTTGTCTCAGAAATCTGCTTCTATCGAGCAATCCCTTGGTGGTCTTCGAAATACGTTCCAAGTTCTTCTCAGAAGGCGAATGATTGCGATCCTGAGGCGCACTCGCAATCATTTTGAAAGCCGTTCGTAGTCGTACGTTGGGTCCTCCTCGATGGGCCAGTCACAACTTGATGAGCTCTTCCAGCCTGTTACCGTCATAAACGACTTTTCCTCCTTGCGGCACTGTGACAGATTTTCTTTGTCAGCTTTCGATTGAATCGTACTTCGCTCGAAGGAGGCGGTGATCGGAGCTACTGCAGAAGGGTGGAACTACTTAGACATCAAGCAAGCTCCACCTTCCGTTGGTAGAATATGGTCGATCTCCGCGTGAGTCATTCGTTGGGCGATTCCCAAGTCCACCTGCGATGTTTTCTTCATGAAGATGGAATTTTCATGGAAAAGTCGTTCGGCGGAGAGAAGCCTAACAAGACGGTTACCATTTTCGTTCCGGAGCCCATATCCAAACTTCCCGATCCTATATTCCTTTTCAAGCGGCATTCCGATTTTCGTGTTAAAGTCGCCCACAACAAACTTGCAAAAGAACCTCTCGTTGCGGACGACCTGCCCCAAGTCTTCGTAGAAAGCATTTAGTCCTGAGTCGTCAGCTGCTGATGTTGAGTAGCAGTTGATGATATCGATGGTCTTCTGACATGGAGTTGTAGTCGTAGGATGGCTAGTCGAAGTGATAGGATCTCATGCGAATAGACAAGATGGTCGACAGATGGGTGAACGACAAAGCCAACGCCTCCAACGTTTCGTGATGGAACCTTTTCACCACGAATGATGAGCGTTCCATCACTCATCTGTCGTCACTCATCTCGTTGCGGTCGAACTCGAACTCTACCAGAATATACTCTCGGCTGTGATGCACAGCCGAGAGTATATTCTGGTAGAGATTCCCGAGCTGTAAAGGAGTTCGCCGTTTCCGGTTTCGCCCGGATGCCTAGCTAAGAGCTGGCCAGGCCAGATCCACCGCCGTCTGCTTTCCCGGTCCTAGGCGGTCCTCCCCGCTCCACACTCAAATCAGCGATCGCTCCGTGGAAATCAAAAATAGGATAGGTCTAGTACTGTTCTTGTAGGAAAAAATTCATCATTGCTCCGCCAGTTAGAAGAATAGAAAGAAACCCCGTACATCGGATCCCGCCTACGGCGCCGGGTGGTGGCAAGAACGATGTCGGGTCCTCAGGGTGGCTTTCGGATCTGACAAAAACGAAACGCCTGCCCGGACGACACCATGAAGACTGCCTCATGCTCTGCACTTCAACGCCAGGACAGTCTCCACAAACGCCGACCTCACGCTCTTCTTGGCGCTGCAGAGCGCATCAAGTATCACATCATCGCTCTGCACGAAACGAAGTCCAGGATTATCAAATCAGAGGTCTAGTCTTGTACTTTTGGAATAACCCTCTGGAGCTGTGCCAACTTACACTTTGTTCGTTATGACAGATTAAAGACAGCTTTGAGACATCTTGCGCATGGGGCTTTTATGTCAAAGGTGACTGAGAGTCCCTGACCAAGGCACCGTGCAAGCGGCAGCTTCATGGCCCCAAAAATTCATCTCCACACCTGTCTTTTGAAGTTGTTTTAGACTACAGTCGCTGCAGCAAGTACAGCCCAGGGCCCGGCACGAGTCGGTTCTAGGGCTTTTGAAAACGAAGTCTCCCCTGACATTCCGAAGTTTTAAGCCCTCTTTGACCTATCTACTTAGGAGAAGATGAAAACAAGAAAAATTTACTAATCTAAAAAAAATTTTGAGATAAGAGTGAAAATCAAAATAGGAGCTTAATACTACGCATGCGCAAGAGTTTGGCTTGGCATTGGAGCGCGATATTTATCAAAGCTATTTATGAAGAAATTAAGGCAAAAAAGAAAGGAAAGGCAATGATATGAAAATGTCTTTATGCTCAGGGATAGATTTTTGATCGGAAAATCCGTCCATGATAGAAAAATCCAAAACTTACGTGAAGTGACAGAAATATATGCTCCAGACGATCTCAGATCCAAAATTCGATCGTCTCCAGACGGTCCCAGACGATCTCAGATCGTCTGGTGACCGTCTGGAGGCGATCGAATTTTGGAAAAGGTATTACTTTACATAAGTTTTCAAACCTTTTTACATAATTCTTTTGCAAATAATTTTCTATGTATACAGTTTAGTTTTGGTGTCATATGATTCTGTGTGCGCTGTAAAAAGCAATTTGTACATTTCTGCCTTGCTTTCAAATCGCGCACTTTTCGCCATACATGATAGAGCAGGTCAATCGTGTGATAACCTGCCCGAAAAGCTTGTGTTCAACTAAATGGCGTTTATTCTTGGTGCTCGGCCTCGAATCGTCAAAAACGATATCTCCTTTGCTTTTTGCTCTAAAAACGAAGTCCAGCCAGCTTCCAAACGATCTGTGCCGGGCCCTGGTACAGTCTGTTTCCCGTAGAAGGCGGAACATCGCAAGAGGGGCGGTGCGTCCGCATCGCTGAAGGTTTTGCGAGCGGCGCTTGCCAGGCAAAGACAGAGGAAAATACGGAGATGCAAACATAGGTTCTTGGCACAAAACGACGAGTCATTCCAAAGCGGCGCGAATAATTGCGCAACGCCTAACGTCCGCCTAAACTGACAAGGAAAGGAAGGTTGGCCGAAGTGGCCTTTCGAAATGAGGTGTATACTCCCTTGTAGAGCTTGGAATGCTAATTCCAAATCTACTTTTGCTATCTGCTGCGGGCTTCTGGGCAAGGAGTTATGAAGGTTTCTGTGAGTGAGAATCTGAATGCAAAAACAGGGTAAAATCAGTTGTAACGTTTTCCCAATGTTCAGATGAGGCAGCAGCGAGTTGCTATATTTGAAGCAAGAATATTTGTTGCACCGAGTGACCCGACTACGCCAATTAAGCCTCATAAAAAATGTTACGACTGATTTTAGCTCACTCTTTCATTCAGATTTTCACTCACAAAAACCTTTCATAACTCCCCGCTCAGAAGCCCGCAGCAGATAGCAAAGGTAGATTTGGAATCAGCGTTCCAAGCTCTACAATAAAGTTTACATCTAATTTCGAAAGGCCACTTCGACCAACCTTCCTTTCCTTGTGAGTTGAAACTGATTGTGTAGTCTGAAACAACTCCCAGCACTGTATCTAGTGTACGTATTGTATCGGGCATGTTTGCAGGACGCACGACGCGATTGGTCAGCGAAAGCATGCGATGCAGGTCGGTTGATAATGGTAGCGTATTTTATGGAGACAAGTTTCTTAGCGTTGACGAACCATTTGCGCTGCGCTTGAACATGATCTTAGTTGGGTTCCACTGTCAGCTTTTGAGTAAAGTCTCATGCCAACTCTGCGTGGATACAGCTCTGAGGCAAACACCCAACACGTTGTTGCTGTTAGAGGCAGTGTCCGGGCACGAAGTGGGTTTTGGGATTTGAGTGCCATGCGAGAGTGGCCCCCCTCAGACACAACATCGCGCAAGTGCGAGTCATAACGCTCGACCTAAAGCAAGAAAAACGACCAGAAAGTGGGGAAACTTGCCTTCGGGCGGAGTCCTCCGAGCTGTCCGAGTTGCTGCTATGCGGCAGAATACGCATGCCGCTACAGTTAAAATGCAGGGTGTCCCGCAGCGACTCTGCGTCTCTGCCTTGGTGGGGACCGTTAAATTTCGAATTGTGCGGCTTTGGAAAGCGTATGTTCTCACCGTTTTCGCGCCTTCTAATGTGAATTTTCGGATTCAGCGTTGCGGATAACCCCCGGTAATTGGATTTTCTAAAAATCGAGTTTTTGCCCGGATACTCCTTTAACATGTTGTTACATGTCGCCAACACGATAGCCTTGCGTGTCACAGATCACAGACGCAGAGCAAAGTAACAACGAACTTGGAGCGGAATACATATATGGCGCATCCCCAGAGATGTTCCCATATGAATCATCACCTCCGAAATGTTCCCATATAAACCATCAACATGGCTATCTTGTGATCATTCTTGTCAACTTCGAATAACGCTTTAATGCGGGGTTAACGCGTTGAAACGATCGAAAGGCAGCCACGTTGATGGTTCACATGTGAACAATTCTAGGGGATGCATAACATTTATGTTTGCTCGGCTCTACGTAATCACACCGCGCACGGCAGATGCTCCGCCGCACACGCCGCGCAGATCTGATCACTGGGCTGAGGCAGCGGACGACTCCGCTTGAGATGGCTTGTTTTCCTATGGCCTCGGGTAACGTCAGTTTGCCACAGAAAGTTTCAACCCACTTCAGTCGGAAATTGGGCCGCAGGGAGTCCGTTAGCTACAGTCTGCTCCAATCCTAACCTGGCCAAAATTGGCTTGGCGGGAGTGCGCGCCGCGAGGGTTTCGCGCCACTTCTGCGTCTCGCTAGTCTGCTCTCTCCTCAATCTCTTCGCTCTCTGCGACAGCGCGCGTATGCAGCGCAAACCCCTAGCGCTGCGAGCGCGCAAATTCAGCCGAGGGTTCGGCCTGATCCCGATTGGGGCAGACTGTACGTGCCAGGGTGGGGGAACGAAAGCCGCCAGTTTGAGCTGACTTTCGCGGCCAACTGGTCCTTTCGCAGTGTTGTTGCATGTCGTTCCAGGACCAGCAGTCCGCGGAAGCGGCCGAAACTGGTGGCTTTCGTTCCCCTACCCTACGTGCCAGAGTAAGCGAATATTTTGTTCAGATTGGGGTCCCGCGCAGAATTGATGTCACTTGGGTTGACGCCAGCATGGTGAGAGGCGTAAATTCTAAGCGGGTCCCCAACCTGAACAAAATATTCGCTTACTCTGGCACCTACCTTACGCAACGGTTCGCGCCGCTTCGCAGCTACTATGCCATATCGTGCTGAGAGTGCCGCGCATCGTCTCTTCATCCTCCTTAGGGTTGCGTTTATACTAACTCCGAAGTTCGGGAACAGTTCCAGCACAGCGCTCGAACTGCGCGCTGAACTGTTCCCGAACTTCGGGATCAGTATGAACGCAGCTTTAGGGAACGGCCATAAGTTCCCGACAACGGTTGTCGGTGTTGTCGGGGTTGCCGAGGTTGCCGGAGTTCGGTCGTTGACCTCATGATTGCCTCCACGTTTCGCGCGCTCTCTAAACTGTCTCTAACCTCAAAAACCCCGACAACACCGACAACCGTTGTCGGCAACCTATGGTCGTTCCCTTAGGCACACGCCATACTTGACCCGCTTGATCCGCTTCATCCACTTCGCTATTAGTCGAGTCAGCAAACTGACCAATGGCGAAGTGGATCAAGCGGATCAAGCGAATCGAGCGAATCAAGTGTGGCGCGTATTTTAGTCTTTACCTGGCAAATTTTACCGCTGTAGGCTAGCCTCCAACAATGCGGACCCGATGCTCCACGTCGAATATTCCGCATACTCCGAGTCGAAGCAAAATGTATACGTGATCGTGTCACCTATCCGTTTTCCTCCTCATTCGCTTCAATCCGCTAGAGCTTGACGAAGGCACATGCGACGCAACATCATGTGTTGCGAGCGTGCGAAGTCAAGCCAATGTGTATCGGCTTGATCCCGAGCAGAACGCATTGTAAGTGCGTGCGCTATGAAGTGGAATCCACACTAACCGTTTTGAAATCAATCTTCCGTCATCTCGATCATCTTGATTTGTTCGTTAGGCCATATTAAGAGTTATTTTGCAGGCTATGAGCAACGCAGAAGCGAAACAAGCGCGACAAGAGATTGACGAACTCCTCACATCTGGGAGGTAAGTGTGTAGCAGATCAAAATGGCGATGGATTTCAGTTTATAGGTTCGAGCGACTGGAGACGGTATCAACTCACATTTTCCAAATGTTCGGCAGGGAATGGAAGGAAATTACAAGGCGCAATGTCCTTTTACACATGTTCCATGATTCCATCGATGATATGACAAAGTTGTTAGCTAGGGATTGTTTTGAGGTAAACTTAGCCCCTTTGCATGAGTTTACCTTCGGTTGCAGAAGTTCGAGACTCTGGAGAGTACTGAGATCATTTTTATCCAAATGTTTTTAATTGAGATCTTTGGGGTGCCTACTACATTTCAGTTGACCGCAAAACCCAAATCTGGGCTCTGCTAAGAGAGGGTATTCGGCCTTTTGGTCACGAATAAGTTCATTTTGCGCAGTAGCTATTTTAGCGGATTATGGTGGGCATATGGTAGGTGGATGTATTACTCAAAATGTGCTTACAATCAGACAAGCATGCAAATTGTGCTTATGATATCAAAGTGCGCGAAATAATTCTTTTGTTATCCAAAAAGTATTACAAGCATCCACTTTGACTGAAATTTGCAAACTCATGATATCGTAATCCATACCAAGATCCCTTTACTCAAGCGAGTGTTTCAGGAAAGGATTTTGTTCCAGGCATCGTATACTTGTGTTCACCCTAGATTATGGTTCTGTGTGCTATAATATTTATAGGGCTAAAAATTACTTTCCAGACAAAATTTGTAAATTAGTATTTTCGCTTTTTTGGTTCTGCTTATGTGAATTAGTAAATACCTACTGAGCACAATTTTACTGAGACGGTGCGGTGCTAGTAGGCAGCCGTATCTACTTGGTGGCAGATAAAGTAATGTGTTGTAGATCAAGGTCAATTACTCGAAGGCAGCATCTAGCTACCAAAGTCTCTTGCTATAAATAAGACATCTTTTATCGCCTATATTTGTCCTATATGCCATTTTTGTAGAGAGGGGCAGATCTATGCGAGGGTGATCATGCAATGGGGCTTACCATTTTCATCTAGAATATTGACAGCGTCAAACCTTCATGAAAAAATATTCCAAATGATATTTTTTTCAGATAATCTTTAACTTTGTCCCGCTGTCCGCTAGTTTCAACTTCACTTGCTTGAGCAGAAAATTTGTTCGTGTATGTTTGAATAGATTCGACAAAGCTGCACCCGTCTATGGCTTTGGTTTCTCAAATCTCCGTGAAAAGGAGTTGGTAGGCGCGTCTCAAAGAATCCAGCAGTTCGATGTGAGATTGTTTCAGTTCTGCATTCAGTTAGATCTTGTTCGCAGACATGCAAAGTCCACGCTCACACCCACAATGCGCATGACATCTCTGGATAAGATCCTTGAAATACTGTAAAATGGAATGTCTGCATTGTTTATTTCAGTCGCAGAAATGGGTGCCCTCAACATCAGTTCACAGTCAGCTCCTTCTCGTGCAGCTTTCTCTCATACTCACTCTGTCCAACGTCGAATTTGTAATTCTTCTACATCAGGTACGGCAAGAGCCATGATTAGTCTCTTTATCCATCCATTTCAAAACAAAGGGCGTTTTCATTGAAGGCGAGGCTTAAGAAAATGGACCTCCTGTCATATCTCAACGATGTTAGGTAGTAAATTCCCTAACACACCGCAGCCCCAACCCGTCTGTAAAATCCGCAAGGTCCTAAATCTTCAAAAGACCAGCCTTGCCCACTTTTGTTGAGTGGGCGTCAGTGGTGGTCTGCAAAGCTTCCAGGATTTTGCACAGGATTTTGAAGGTGGGTTGGGGCTACGGCGTGCTTAGGGGTCTGCTATAGTTGGCTGCACGGAATCGCCTGGAATTAGCGCCCGCGAGCGTGTCTCTTGCGGGCTAACATTGGCATTCGCGGGCATGAGTCATCATAGAGTCCGCACTCGGCAGCCGCGTTGCAGGCACGCTCGCGTGCGTTCAGCCTACAGCAACCCGGGCGATTTCGTGCAGGCGACTTTACCTAACATCATCAAAATCAGACAAGGGGTCCATTGCCGGGCCGGTGCCTCACGACATGAATTGTTTTTTGGTGTTACGTAAGAATACATTCTCACCGTTTCATTCAATTTCCCCAATTTGTTAACTAAATGAAAAAACGTGTCAAAAATAGCAAAACGTTGAGAGAGACAGGTGCCGCCGTAGTACCTCTTTGAGCTCTTCCAGACTTATATCAATGTACAGCACTGGGTATGGCTTGGGTCTTAAGGCTTTCTAAAGAGCATGGTTCCCGTCCTGAGATAACCAAAACTGTTAAACAAAGTGGGTGGGCAGACATAGTACATTCGCTGCTATCTGAATTCTATCTTCTACTGTAAAACTGAAAAAAAAAACTGCTGAGAAAATGGCTACTGAGATTGTTTGCGAGATATTTTGGCTTGTTTACCTAATTTGAGCTAGTTTATTTTAGTGGGTAAAGGTGCTTGTATACTGTAGACCTGTAAATACCTGCTTGAAGGCAGCGTCCAGGTAGCTGTCCCCAGTGTGTTTACCGGGCGACTTGCTTGGGCTTACGGAGTTTTGCTCGGGTATTATCACGACAGCGGTGCGTCCCCAAGCAATAGCAAGTAAGCTGATGCGAGTCGTTCCCCGTGTATGGTAACGGGTATGGACACGCGACAATTATCTCAACCACGCGGGTACTGTGCTGCCGTTTGAGCAAAGCCTTCGATAGGCTCCAGAACTAGTTTCCACATGCGTTCGGATTTGCCTGGACGCTGCCTTCAGCTCACAGAATATGTGAAGTCTTGAATTCTTTTTTGTAACATACGTAACACCAACTCTCTTTTCATTTCCATAGGCTATCGGACTATAAAAAACTTTTCAAAAATGCTAATTATCTTTGTAAAGGTTCCTTCAAGGCCGTGCTTGCCGCCACGCCTCCCTTTCTAGGATTTCGGGATCACATGCTCCGAAAAATCCTGAAAAGCGTCCCAAAATTTTTCTCGATGGGCGTGGCAAACGCCGCCCCATTCAGTGGAAAAACCTTTTTGTCGCCTCGGAAAATTTCTTTTTGTATCTGTTCACTGTCACACGCATATTCATACTAGTGACGCTTGAAAACACGAAGTAGAAGGACTCAAAGGTATAACTGAAAACAGATGGGTAAATCCATCCGTGCTCAGGCTACAACTCCCTGCTACTTCCTCCTCCTTCTGCTCCTCCTCCTCCTTCAGCTCCGTGTGAATGTGCGCCATCGCCGTACAAACATTGTCAACCAACTTGGGATGTCCACGCACGCATACCTATTGGTAGTGAGCCCGTCACTACTTCACCTTATATGCAGAGGTAGTTAGTGGATATTCGCAAAAGTTCGTTTATCTGAGATTTTTTACAGTTATGAGAACACATGTCAAGATGACGTATTATATGACTACTCCTTTCACGAAAATTGTGTCCCACTACCCAGATATGATGCACCTGATTTGTCAAAGGTATGATGTGCAAATTCGTCTTGAAGGTGGATACAATAAAAGAATCGGTAGGCGCGCTAAAGAGCGCTAGATCTGATTTTTTTGTTGATTAGAACATCGTCATTCGTTTAGTTGTGATACATTCTGATTTTTTTATCTTGCTTGTTTCCAGGTAAGAATACTCACATGATCACAAGATGCTTTCCAGTGGCTGAACCTCAGAAACGAACTATTACATTGAGCTATATAAAGTCGGAACCGAATATCTGCATTCGAACGATTTGTTCCGAAAATTCGACTATTCAAATCGAATTGCCGAATATTTGAAAAGGTTATTCGATTATTTGAATAGTGGAATGATTGGAAAAGGCCTTTATTCGAATGAGTCGTTCAATCGACGACTCGGAAAAATGACTTATTCTAATGTTCGAGTTTTCGAGCAACTTGCAGTTGTTCATTGAATATTCGGATATTGCACTCAAATATTGCATTTAGGTATTCAATAACATTTAGTAATTAGTTTATCCGAATAGTTGAAAATTCGATCAATCGGTTAATCGAGTACTCGTAAGTTCGAATTTTGGAATGTGCCAGATCCGAATATTCGAATTCGAATAACATGAAAATCGGAAATTGAATAATCGTTCATTTGGAAAATTTTCGAAAATCTATTATTCGATATTCATTCGTTCGAAAATTTTTCAAAAATCAGTTATTCGATATTCGTTCATTCGATGGAAATTTCCGTTCGTTATAACTATAATGGAGACGTTTGAGCTGGCTTTCTGCCTTCATCAAAGAAGTGTTTTGTTCTGGAAGGACAGGACGTACTTTCCAAGATCAAAACAATGTAAACACTCATTTCATTTTCAATCTCTGCAGTACTGCCTTGTCAGCTCGAGCCTAGAACTAATATCGGGTAGACGTTGTTCATGCTCTTGGTTTAGTCGTCATTCTCAAGTTCGCAATCTAAATGCTTATCCTGAATTTCGAATTTGAGCTGCCATTCCCGAACGTCCCTCCAGTCTCAAACACTCGTGAGTCTTCGCCGGACCGATCGTTCGCAACAACGCTACCAGTGTGCACTGCATCGGTATTACACATTTATTATGTTGTTGAAACTCTAGCCTGCTGTTAAGGCTCAACCTGAGGAATATGCATCTTTGGAAGCAAATAAACCAGAGGATAAGGTGGCCTTTTCTTTTTCCAACTCTTTATAGGCAAAAGTTGTCAAAAGCTGTTGCAGGTCATGATGGCAGAGCGTCGTGTGCGAGCACTGATGGACTCTATTCAGCCAGTGGGCAGCTTTTGGGACAGTCCTCCAAAAGTACTTTTTTTGTGATTCAAAAATTCTTACCATCTTCAATGTACTAACGAAAAGTCACTTTATAAAGGTGCGAGATAAAGTGGATTCGCCAAGAGCGTCTAGCCGTACTGAGAACCCAGCTGGTGTGATTGGTTCACCAGTGAAAGGTAAAGGTGGTGCATCTTCTGCTCGTCGTCAAACTCCTAACAAAGCTTGGAAATGGTAATAGTAAAAACTCATCGTCAGAAACATCAAGAGCACTTATATACCTCCGCTATCATTTTTCCAAAAATGGACCTTTAGCTCACTGTATAGTTCTGTAAGAAAGAACCCTGTGAATACTGGAAATTTGTCTTTCGCTCATTACAACTGTGAAGTCAACATTTCCTTGTAAATATACCTTCATTTTTCTTTGACATTCTATTCGCTCCGATTACGTAATAATGACTGTTACAATACCATGATTATTTTTATGTAGCTTCTAGGTTTTGTGGATGCTAAACTTTGATCCAATCACTGAGCCTTAGATTTTTTTTCGAAGAATAAAGTGTGTCTCTCAAAAACTTGAGCTTCATTCATTCCGCACTCAAAGAGTGTTCGGGCAAATACTCAACTTCCGAATTTTTCGCTTACCCCGGCTTATCCGCGACGCTTAGTGCGGAAATCCATCTTACAATTAGAAAGCGAGCGAATAAAGTTTAGCTTTGGGACTTTAAGAGAGTATAATTTTTGATTGTTTATGGGCATTGGTTGAGCCCTCTTATGCAAAAGCTTTTCCTTAATTGCACAATTCATATGGATTTATTTGCTCGAATACACCGCTTCGCACAAGAAAAAAACCCGAACGTCTTCGTTAGTGGGGCCAGCTTCTAGCGAATCATCCTGCTAAGAATTTCTGTATTCTTATAACCCGCCTTATGAATTGCTTTATTACATCTCCCTAACTGTTGTAAATTTAAAGGTCCGAGTAGTATGTGCACCGTGTAGAATTTTTAATTTTTTCTTCTCCTTAGTGGATTTTTGCAAATTTTGTAAAGCTAGCTCAAACTCAGTAAATAAGTCGGCGATCGTTTTTTGTTACTGCAAAATTACTGTAGCAAATTCGTAGTCATAAGTCCTTGGAAACCAAATTTCATCCCAGACAGGGATGCAAAACACATGTTTCTTAAAAAAATAAATTCGTTCAAACAGCTTATCCGTAAAAAGTACGGTAGATAGATAGCAGCTTCCGTAGGATTTTTGGGAGTTCCCAAGACCAGCAATTTACAATGACATTAAGGGAAGGCTGACAGTCCGCTTAGATGTACGCTGTAGTCAAATATGACTGTGCCCAAACAGGGGAGACTGTCAAGAGGTGCAGTATCTCCAGAGATCACCAATTTAGAGCTATGAGAGTCTTAAAAAATACCAGACAAAGTGCTCTAGCTTACTAACTATCTGAAGTAATCAGCTTGACGGCTTTTGTTAAAAATCGATCGAAATATTGAAAAATAGCAACCAGTTGCATTTTCGAAGGTTTCTGACCCCCAACATCTATGTTTTGGATCTATTTCGTGATACAGGTTTTTAAACAGCCCTGGCAACGGTCTTGCTTATTTGCTCAGAAATTGAAAATCTTTGAGTACGTTATCAAACCCTAAAAACACGTTAATTGATGTATTTGGCAATAAAAATCGCTCTTGACATACGCCTCCCAAAAAGCTTAAAGAATGGAAGAAAACTTAGGAAACAATATCCGGACCCAATTGCCGACATCATCCTGGAAAATGTGCCATTGCACACATTAGCAAAGCAAATTGAACTGGGCTGTGCATACTCAGGACATCCAGTGTAGGTGGGGTGTTATTTACTAAAATTTGGCCTACAGATACAATTGAAGTGTACACGTACAGCCCAGGTAATTCTGCTGTTGTTGATGCAAATGCATACTTCTTTTCTTTTTTTTTCTTCATTTCCCCATCACTGACCTGAGGGTGCTGCAGATCAGATACCAGATGGATTCATAATCAGAAAAGTATAGATAGGATATTTCTAGAGTATCAGGCCAGCAGCGCCTATTTTTTCAAATAGGATGGACTCCGGTTAGCTAAATCTATCTCGGCCTCGCTTGACCTCTGACCCAATGACCTGCATAGGTCGACGACCACCCACATGCTATGCTTTTCCGCTGCACGCTTATCTTGAATTTTCCAGCTCTTATGGCTTTACTTGATCAGCCGAATTCGTTCAATGTTCTCGTTGTTCATTGAATTTGAATGAAATGAAATCAATTAGGAAGTATTCTCGAGTTTTCGCATTTCTCACAGCTACGGCCAGAAATATATGTATTGCTAGAGTGTACACACTTATAATGAGATTACAGATCATGGTCAAGACTGAAGAAATTCCCACTTTGTTTATGAGCATAGGAGAGGTTTGTGGCACAATTTCTTCTTTGCTTTGTTCTATAAGCTTTTCAACAAATGCATTCGGTTATCTTTCGAGAACCGCTTGAACTTTTGAGTCAATAATGGAACCTGAGCTCAAAAAAGTCTTAAGTTGTCAGCACAGGATGACAAAGTGGCTAACTAGATAAGTTAACACTCTGAAGTGCCTTGCTAGTAAATAAGTGGACACTGTGAGATACACTTGCTTCCCTTTCCTCCATCTATCCTCATAGTCTTCGGCGGTTTTTTGAATTTCAGTCTTTTTGAGCTTACGTGTTGATAATTATCATTCCTGGCTACTGTAGACAGAAACTTGGCGATGATTGTGGACAAAGCACAGTCTTCCTTCCTATTTCCATAATATATCCCTTCAAGCACTGCACTAATATTTTCTCACAAATAACATGGTTTGGTCGTTTGATGCAATGGCCAGGGCTCGGCACGAGCTGGCACCAGGAAATTTTCAAAACGAAGTCCCCTGACTTTCCCAAAATTTTACGAAGTCCCCTTTGATCCTCAACGATATCCCCTCTAAAAACCTGAAAAATTCCGCAAAATCCCCCCAAAAACGAAACGTCGACTAAAAAAAAGGTCGCCAATTTTTGACGTGTCTTCGCCCACAAAAACGAAACCCCCTTTGCTTTTTGCCCCAAAAACGATATCCAGCTTGCCCCGTGCCAGCTGGTGCCAGGCCCTGGCAATGGCAGATGTTGAAAATTATCGATTACTCGTATTATAGAAATTATTATATTCCCCTAAGACTCATAAATGGTGTTGCTCATTAACGTTTGTCCGAACTTCTCTGTACACTCAATATATGTCGTTACTTGATTTTGCACTCTTCATAACTATTACTTCTTTCCCTTTTAGGAATCATATGAAATTTTTGAAAACATTTTTTTTATTTTTGAAAATCTGCCGAATTATTTCCGGATCGCGTTTTTGAAGAGCGTAAGCTTCTAAACTACTCCCTTATCAACACTGATGCTTCCAGAAGCCCATGTTTGAAAGTAAAGAAAAAAATGAAGGTTGAAGTCTGGTAGAAAATTGCATTTATTAAGGAACAAAAGAAATACGAACAAAAATGAAAACGAATGTAACTAAATTTATATTATATAACATCCCATTTGTACCATCTCTTTCACTCAATTATGTAAATGTCTCTTTGGTACATCCAGTACGTTGAGATTTTGAGGTTTTCAAAAAAGGTTTGGTTGCAGTCAATTTGAGGTCACTATCTGTGTGCATATACCTTTCTATTTTCATTTTCCCGTGTCGATTTTTGATTTGAACTTATTCCAACGAAGAGCTCAAATGGAGCTGGACAAAATGTCTCGTCTTGGAAAATAGCATGGAAAACGCGATTTAATTGTAATTATCGATTACTCGTATTATAGAAATTATTATATTCCCCTAAGACTCATAAATGGTGTTGCTCATTAACGTTTGTCCGAACTTCTCTGTACACTCAATATATGTCGTTACTTGATTTTGCACTCTTCATAACTATTACTTCTTTCCCTTTTAGGAATCATATGAAATTTTTGAAAACATTTTTTTTATTTTTGAAAATCTGCCGAATTATTTCCGGATCGCGTTTTTGAAGAGCGTAAGCTTCTAAACTACTCCCTTATCAACACTGATGCTTCCAGAAGCCCATGTTTGAAAGTAAAGAAAAAAATGAAGGTTGAAGTCTGGTAGAAAATTGCATTTATTAAGGAACAAAAGAAATACGAACAAAAATGAAAACGAATGTAACTAAATTTATATTATATAACATCCCATTTGTACCATCTCTTTCACTCAATTATGTAAATGTCTCTTTGGTACATCCAGTACGTTGAGATTTTGAGGTTTTCAAAAAAGGTTTGGTTGCAGTCAATTTGAGGTCACTATCTGTGTGCATATACCTTTCTATTTTCATTTTCCCGTGTCGATTTTTGATTTGAACTTATTCCAACGAAGAGCTCAAATGGAGCTGGACAAAATGTCTCGTCTTGGAAAATAGCATGGAAAACGCGATTTAATTGTAATAATCACTTTACCTCATAGAGCACACAAAACGTAAATATTCAAACATTTTCCGCTTCAGACATCCTCATAATAACGCTGAAAACATTTGTTTTCTAGGAGAATAAACCATGCATACAATCAGCAGGATCTTCTGATTCGCCTTCACGAGTAATGAGTCCAGATAATCAAGGATCAACAAGGCCAGCCCCCAGTTTTGGGCCTCTGAGTGTGTTACAAACACTGCTTTCTGCACCTTTTGTTGCTCCAACGCATAAAAGTGACAGCGAAGAAAAAATCAGCACGATGCAACCCTCGAACGATGTCGCTCTTCGATCTTTGCTAGATTTGCCCCGTTTGGATGAGAAAGTAGAGACAGCCGCGGTCAGTGATGTCCTCCAATCACCATTTGTGATATATTTAATTATTTTAGGAAGCTGGTTACCAAAATCTATCCTTACAGAACAAGTTTTCAATCCCTGTGAGTGAGTTTTTTTTGACATTCATCAGTTCCAAACTTTTGGATCAAGGCGGAGAGGGTGAGAAAAACGCGCGACATCGCAACCTGAAGCCGTTTTCGCGATCTATCATCGGAAATTATGAGGAGAATTTTTAATGCGCATGGTTTTTGACGGGCACATTAAAGCGGCAGGACGTTAGGAAAAATACTGGATTTTTTCCCAATGTTTTCAAAGTTATACAATTAGCGCCCGAACTAATAATAGGACCGAAGTCGCTGAAAGAGGGAAAAAATGGGAAAGTTAAGGAAGAAAATTTTCCAAAATCCAAATGGTGGTCCAGTGGCCTAAGTTCAAAGTTTGCTTTGAAATTACTTGCATGTCGAAAGTCCGGTTTTCGTATGTATCAGGCTGCTGCAAAAGTTCTGTCCAATTTGAATTTTCGAATTTAAAATATCATCATTTCTTTCAAAATTGATTTTTTTCCATAATCTTAGTTCCTGTGTGTTGAGCAGTTCTTTTCTTATCAGAGAATTACCAGTTCTTGAGAACCCTGTTAAAGAGGAAATTTTCCAGCGTTCTTCTTCAAACCTGTCTTTTTAACATGACATGATCTCTTAGGAGAGCTGACAGGTACATTAGTTAGTAGCAATGGGTAGCTAGAGAAAATTTCGAAGATCCTGCAGCTTAAAAGCGCCCAGATGATCTTTGACGGCAAGGATTTTTTTGACCGAATAAAAAAAGCCGTTTTCCAACCTCGTTTTAGTTCATGTATGTATATTGTATTATGTTCATGTATGCCAACTTTCAAATTATGATAATTTTACACTCGCGAAGGGTGAAAAGTAATTGGTGCCTGGGTCTGCTAGCTCTTGCTTTATTCTAGTACCTCCAACATTAAACTCATCGATTCCCACCATACACGGGAGGATTTTATCAAAATATGGTATGGTTCAGGAAGAACAAGGAAAGCGCCCTCTAAAGCCTCGAACAGAGTTCACGCGATTTGATCTTCGCGATTCAGTCGCCGCGACTTCCATTCATTTTCACTTTAACAGCCGGGCATACTTCACGCGATTTCAGTCGCGACGCGATTTGGCAATATTCCAACTGTTCATAACTCATTGTAAGCAAATTCTGAATGTACAGAAGATAGCGTATTTTATCACCCACTTAAGTTTAAGTTTTAAGTTTTAGTTTTTTTTTTAAGTTTTTAAGTTTTCCTCGCAGATTTTTTCATCGGCATAACAGCTTTAGGCCCCGGACAGACTTCACGCGACTTAATCGTCGCGATCTAATCGCCGACTTTTCCATTCATTTTCGTTTCACATTCAAAAATTTCGGGGTGGAAAAGTATCACAACCGAAATGCAAGCTGGCCGGCATGCAATGAACTGTAACAGTTGTCATGTCGCGATTGAATCGCGACGATCAAATCGCGTGAACTCTGTCCGAGGCCTAATGGTAGAAACACTATCGCATTACGAGTGAAAATCTCCTAGAACGGCTGCTTCAGATACAAGACAAAAAAATTGAACAGAACTCATGCAGCCTTGTGCAACTTGAAATTTTAACGTTATTTATTCAAAAACTGAGCTTCGGGTTCACATCCCAGACGTCTTCACTGGAAGATCGTGGGAGTTAGTAATGCTGCATTTATCTCTGAGAGCAATTTTTCGTTGTAGAATAAATCTTTTGGGGTGCGGGAACTTACCTACCCGAAAGACTTGCCGCATACTTTAGGTATCATGAGCAGTCCGATACGCAATTCGCATAGTGTACAGAGCCTAGTCTGTGTGTACTGTAAGCCCCGCCCCCATACATCGACTCTTTCGCGATGCATCCATCATTCATGAAACCGGGAATTCAACAGAATCACAAAATTGATTGTTCAGCAACAGTACCTGCTCAAACTCGATGAAAATATAGATTTAGGGGTTTTCTGAGGCGCTCTCTTCAAATATGCTATTGGTTTTGCGCTGCTTCTTCTTATAGGAGCCGAAATTTTGCCTTGGTGAATTGACTTTTAGCTCAAGAATTCTCGACAAAAAAGCAATAGCCTTAGAACGCATGTAAAACTGCTTTTTCACTTTTCTTCTCGGAACATTGTTCTGAGAGAAAAAGTGAAAAAGCAGTTTTTTAGTGAGAACATCATGCCCTGAGGATGTGACCTTAATGATAAAAGACTATGAAGGTCAGCTAGTCTATTAAACGATCAATGTGTACAGGACGCTGCACATGTTTTTGTAATTTGGATATTTTATCTATATAATTGATATATCAGAAGATATTTTGCTCAATCAGAGATATTTTGCTGCATTTAAATCATACTCAGAAAGTGATGTTCAGCATTTTGGATTTACCCGATCCTTGTAATCTATAACAATTTTTTACCAGTCGAGTGATTTCATATTTTCCAAGTTTATGGATTATTTTTGCATGAAAGAGAATTTCTAATTCGGCACTTTCATATTCAGATTTGCCTCATCCTCCCGATTACAACCATCTTTTTTTCTTTCCATTAGCTCCAGAGCCTCGCAGCCCTCTTTTAGCATATCCTGGCGCTGAGCCAGCCTCGATGTCCTCAGGTTTTGCAAGGTTTTCTGGCATGTCGTGGCCCTATGCCAAAAAGGCGCAATGTGTGTGGGGGGGGGGGGGGCTTAGCTTAGCGCTGTATCCTAAGGAGCATCTGGAATCAGCGAGCGCTATGCCTAATCATACCCCGCAGACACACATCCATGAGGTGCGAGAATATCTCGGGTAGGTAAGTTCCTCTCCCCAATTTTTTGTAGTGGGGGATACCTTGCCTAGTTGGGGCTTCTTACCGTCCTGTTACTAGATTATTTTCTGCGTAAAGGCATCCAAAATGCGTCAGTGAAGGCCCTTCAGTTTTCTTGTGAAGTTATTCCCAAAAAAATCAGATGGATCACTGGGTTTCTGTGAAGTTGTACTTGATTACTTGATGACACAATCGTTGAAGATATCTTTCAGGGACAACCATTGACGATGCCACAGCATGACCCTTCGGATTGTGCCAGTGTGACTCAATTCAAATTACATCTTGCCTATGTTTTCTATCAGATTTGTAAAGTTAACCATGCTGCATCCGCTAACAACTAATATTCTACGAATAAAGGTTTGAAAAATGGATAGTGTACTCCAAAGTATCTTCACTGAAATTTTTGGGACATCATAGCCAAAAAGTCTTACTTTCTCATAATAATATGATTGCCCTAGATTGGGAGCTGTTAGAGTTTACTATTCATAGTAGTTATATTGTCTCGTTCGGTCGGAATATCCTCCTGGTGTAGCATCCTCGAGCTTTTGGCATGTCAGGACCCCGCAGTGCGGATGCATAGTCGCACGCAAAAAGGTCACTGCATTTGATACAGATTGTACGCGGTGTTGTTCAACTTGTAGCTCAATTGTTCATGTCACTTTTCCAATCATGAAATGCGATGAATGTTTAACAGAACTCGGGCCTTGTTGAGAGTTTTGAAAATTTTTGTTGTTAGCTTCTTTGTGAACGTTCAAACTACGAAATCAGAATGAACTGGTATCTGTAAATTGTCACTCCGTCTGCATAGTGTCCATCCACTTCAATGAGGGGGCGGAAGCTTCTTACCCGAGCCATAAACTCGCACCTAAGTGATGTGCCTGCCAAACACATTCGGAATAGCTATAATTACGAGCTCCTCAGGAAACCAAGACATTACAAGTCCCGCTCTCTTATCCAGTGTCGCTTCAGATGCTGAAACCGAAGTTCCAAATAAAGTTTGAAATTGAAGTTCAGTAGCAAAATTGCTTCAATCTCGACCAAAATTTTACTATAGGGGTTTTCGACGTTGCTTTTTTCAGTAGTGAGATTTATTTGTTGCAAAGTCAGAGATCAGCACCATAATACCCAACCAAGTTCAAAATTCGCGTTCAGAGGATTTCGAAATTTCCTTCTCCTTAATAAGACCGAGTTCAGGTTTACGGGTTCTCAATCGCTTTTTCGATAACGCAGTATGTTTTCTGCAATATCAACGGCTATTCGATTTTTGAACATTTTGTGGAGAGGGGGGGGGGACTTTTCATACGATCGGGGACTTCGCACCTAGCCTTCGCACCTACCTCACACCTACATCGCACCTCTCCACACGTAGTGAGTAAGATTCTCCACTACGCCTAGATGGGGAGAGAGGGGAGGGGGAGCTTTTTATACGAATGCTCCCTGATCATCTTGACCTTTTAGCGGTGTGCTGGGGCGCTGGTGATACGACCAGTTATCGATTCTAATGGACTAAAATGAAACGTTCTATCAAAAATGTACAATGAATTCGCAAGGCACATGAATAAGCGCATTGAAATTATCTCTAAATCATTCGAGTTAATAATCCTCTGATTCTGTGCGTAAAGTAAAGAATACCTTGATTTATAAAGCTTATCGGGCGGCGCGGGTGTATGTCGAAAGGCGCGCGTTCCCTAAGCCTTCATTTCCAGACTAGATCAGTTCTCTACAACAGCGAGGTTTCCAGATTCCAAGAGTTTTAGTAGTACATCAGAAAGCATAATGGAGGATAACCAGTTGAAACTGGAAAGTATTGAAATAAATTTGAACTTATTTCTTGCTTCTCCCAGTTAATGACAATCGATCAATACGCGCCATTCGACCGTCTCCCGGGCGGCGCTTGCGGGGGGGGGTACGAAACAATTAAAAATTCAAAAAACTTTGAAATAGCTACCATAATAAAGATGTCAGGCCGAAGCGAATTCATTCTCGCAAACAATTGGCACAATTGTGATAATGATGTAGTTTGCTTCATTGGGTTGCATACCCTCCAATATCCCTTATGGGAACGGCAGCACTTCCAGGTCATACCGAAAGGCGGGGAGGTATGTGGTAATACTCAAATCAGTTCAAAACGTTTGCAAAAGAAAATCGAATTATGTCGACCTAAATCTTACTAAAAATAGTGAGTAGAACGATTATAATGTTATTTTTCACAGCAAAACACTTTTTACATTCATACAGCACCCACGTTTTCATTTTATCCAATCGCGGTACTGCAAAAGCTAATTCATATATTTTATTCTTTTGGAATGGAGCCAGAGGGCCCAAACCTGGCATGGTGTAAATATTCATTGGATCTTTGCCAAAAGATGATGTGAGGGCATTCGTATGAAAAGGATCCTCCCTCCCCCCTCCACCTCCTACAGTATACTAGACGCGGAGGTGCGAGACTTGACACTTAGCCGTAGGTGTTCACACCTCGCACCTCGGAATTGCTCATCGTACGAAGAGTCACTCACCCTTTTTTGGAGACGAAAAATGTTTGTCTCACAAGAACCAAATAGTTTCCATTAAAATGCAATGCCAAATGCTGAAATACGTATGTGTGTCAGGTTAAAAGGCTGGGCTTGCCTTTGCCTGATGTGTAGCGGGTAGTTACATAAGTTTAATTTACTAATATTTATTATTTAGCACAATTACAGGGGAAGGGGAAAAAAGGGAAGAGCCTGCAGGGTGTAACCTGCTGGTCGCGGTCGTCGGGGGTCACTGTCCTTCAGCGGGCTTTACAACCCGCACCAAGAGGAGGGACAGCTGTAATGGACCCGACATCTCCATTCCTTCGAGAAGCTCGTCCTCGAGCTAGTGACATATTTGGGGATTATTGTTGTAGTTGGCATTGTCGTGGTTGCTGTTCTTCCGTGTAACGTGCGTTAGCATATGCACGTGATATACGGCGAGAACATATAAAATGATGTTGTGGGTATATTGAAGATACATAGTAATTTTAAGGTTATGGATCCGGTAGACTGCAAACAGACACGACCTTCACTTAGAATATCTCATGGCGTTGAGTAAGATCGTCCTCGAGCTTGAAGGTAGCTGAGGGAGGTGTAGGAGACTGCGAAGAAATGCACTTGACTTGAGTGGGGTTCCCGACATGATGGTGGCAAGGGAATGGAATGGAGGTGTAGGAAATGGAGATGGACCGATTGATATTGGGGGCATGGTAGAAATGGAGTTGATCAAAGGGGCAAATGATTTACCATTTGGGGTGGAGTTGACAGCATGTAGAAAAATTGTTCTTTGAAATTACTGAACATACGAAGCAGAAGGTATAAACTGGTTAACAGCAAATTATTTTAAGGTGGTAATATTTAGTGATAAATCAGTGATAAATTCATGATATACGTTGAAAAATTTTAACAGTGATCTCTAGGCAATCATAAAACATAATTCATTAGTAATTTCACAAAGTTACAAAATTTTGTTCACAGTAACATTTTCTGTGAATAATTGCATGTAAAAACAGAGGCGTAACGAGTTTATATGTTGAAATGGGCACTGTACACTTTTTTTCATTCAACATAAGGGCAAAATTTGTTTGTCACTCAAGGGTTTTGAGTGTCTAATGCGAAAAATTTCTTTGAATTGCCTGTTCAAAAAAATTTAAGGTAGGTAAATACGCAAAGGTGCGGCAAAATAGGGGAAACAAACTAACCATAGAGAATAAATAACTACTCATTGCAAAAAATCGAATGTATATAAAAATTTAGCGAGCAGTTATTCATCCTCTACTTTGGAATCGATGTTTGGATCCGCTGAATGATCTACTTAGGTGCAAACGATGAGTTCGTTTGGGAAACTGAGTTTGTTCAGCATTTTCTGAGGTTTCTGATGGTGTGTGTTTCATTTTTAATTTTTGGGAAGAAACCTTAGCGAATGTCGAACCATGGGAACAGATTTTTGATCTATTCATATGAACGGTTCACTGGAGCGATCTGTCCAAATTAGTGATAGTATTGTTGGGACGAGCAACAGACACGACAATAAAAGGACCGTTTGTGAATTTTGTACGGACGGTATCGTCGCATAAGAACTAAGTCACCACTGGAAATGACCTTGGGAAATACTTTATTATGAAAATCACCTGATTTGAACGCTCAGTTTTCTTGGCCAATCTGGTTCCCGACTTGCACAATTGTTGTTCGTAGGGCTGCTGTCATCTGGTCGACGAAACTATCTGTCGCGTATGAAATCCTAGAAGGAATTTGATGGATAATATCGCTCCGAGTTATTGGATGGCGACCATACGCAACGAAATATGGGCTATAACCAGTAGCGTCGTTTATACTGGTATTATATGCAAAAACGACTGGCTGTAGGAAATCGGACCAGGATTCCTTTGTATCGGAACAACAGGAAGTTAAGGCGTCACGATTACCTTTACTATTCTCTCGACCTGTCCATTCGCCTTGTGGTTGTAACTGGTTGTGAATTTGTTCTCTATGCCCAAAGTCTGGTTGATTCTGGGGAACATCTCACTGGTGTAGTTAGAACCACGGTCGGAGACGAATTCGTTTGGGATACCATGTTTGGCAATCACATCATTAATCTGGGCTTTCACAACAGTATCTGTTGTTTGATCCGCGATAGCAGCACAAGTGATCAGCTTGCTGAACGGGCAATTAGTAACGGAAATGAATGTTTCCATTGATACATTGAGGTAAAGGGCCTCCTATGTCGGTTTGAAGGCGCACAAATGGTCTGACAGGAACTGGGAATGAACCCAATTCTTCACGAATTGTATTTCCAGACGGCATTTTGATCTTCTGGCAACTAGGAAATTTGTTTACAAAATCTACCACATTATGAAACATTCTTTTCCAAAAGTATTTAGCGTGGTTATCTTGATACGTTCTTCTTATTCCCAAGTGGGATCCTAGTAAAGGGTTGTTATGGAAAACTTGGAGATTTGTTGCAAAACTGGATTAAGAACTACTAATTGGTTTTTGTTTGATTTTATGTGATAAAGTAAATTGTTGTAAAGGCAAAAATGTTCTATTTGATCAGAAAATTTGCTTGGTGAACTATCCTATTTATTGCAGTTGCAGTAAATAAGTCGCTGCTGCCGTTTTCGCCCGATGGCGAAATCTGCTTCTGGAGGACGCTCTGGCGAGGTAAATTTAAGCCCTACGGCATGTAAATTTACAACCCTTATACGCCCAATATTATTGCATAAGTTATTTATCATTCTTACTTCTGTTTCTTGTGCAGTCAACAGCGCCAGAAATGGCTCTGCTCAGGTTGTGATTTTAGCCCATATTTTATTTCCTGTTTCAGTTACCACTTCAACCAATCCTTCAATCGTCGAAGATGTTCACTTTCGGAAACCAAAACGCTGCCGCTCGTGATGCTGTGAGACAAGCCAAGCTTGCGGCTCCTGAAGCGGCAAGGGAAGCCGTGCGAAATGCCTCGACTCCGACGTGGGAGGATGCTGTGAGACAAGCCGCGCCATCGGTCCCGTTTCCGTAAGTTTTCAATTTATACATTAGTTTTGACTATATAGAAAAAAAACGGAAGAAAAGAAAAGAATTTATTTTGATTTATTTCCTGTTGCTGTGTTCTTTTCGAAAGAGAGAAAAAAATAAAATAAAATAAAATAAAAAATTATTTTTATCTTATTGAAAGAAGAAGAGAAAGAAAACTAAGTATTATTTTATCTTATCAAAGGGGAAAAAATGAAAATCTTATTTTCATCTTCTCTTATTATGTGCTTTTCGAAAGAGCAAAGGAAATTGTTTCTAATCTGTCAGGTTAAAGGTCTGCAGGTCCTTTACCTGATGTGTAGCGGTAAGTACATAAGTCTTATTTACTAATATTTATTATTTAGATATATAGAGGGGAAGTGGGGAAAAGGGGAAGAGGCCGCAGGAGCAACCGGCTGGTAGCGGTCGTCGGGGGTCACTGTCCTCCAGCGGGCTTTACAACCCGCACCAAGAGGAGGGACAGCTGATGTGGACCCGACTCTCCATTCCTTCGAGAAGCTCGTCCTCGAGCTTGTGGGTGGCATGGCTGAGGTTTCGAGACGTAGTAGTGGTTGGCGTTGATGTGGTGGATGTTCTTCCGAGTGACGTGCGTTGAAGTTTACACGTGATTTACGGCGAGAACGTACAGTTGGCGTGATGATATGTTAAAATACATACAGAAGTGAGGATATGGATCCGGTGGACTGCCAGCAGACACGACCTTCACCTAGAATATGTGTGTTTACGAGTGATTTATCGGAACTAGATGAACTCAGAAGAGGAGAAGAGCTAGAAGATTCTATAGAAGAACTATCAGGAGGGGGTGCACTGCTTGCACGCTGGATTGGACTAGTGGAGCGGCTAGGTTCGTCTTGAACAAGTTGTAATTTATGTGGGATACGCGAGTGTGATCTTTGCCTTCTTTTAATTGAACCACGCGAAGATAATCACAAGGCTCAGGAGATTTACTAGAACCACTGCTCATGTAAATCTATCATACACAAAAAAATTGTTCGTTGATTATGTTGTAAGTCCTCTTATCTTTGAACCTCGGCATGTTCTTGAGGATGAATAATTTCAATTGCTATATTATGCCGTAACAGGTTGCTATAGATGATATACTTTATTACCCGACGTTTCGGCAAGACGCCGTCTTCAGGGGCTGAAAAGGCGTCAATCACATTGATACACACGATCTCTGCCGCCAAATATCTCCACCGACTTGCCACTCGATTCGTCTTGAGTGAAGGCAGGGAGTTGGCAAGTGATGAGAGTTGAGGGGAATCTACCAAATCACCATAACGACAGTACGGGTACTCAGTCCACCACGAACGAAAAAACGGCTAGAGTCACAGTGTTAGGTAATGCTCAGATTTCACGCAATGCTATCGAATTGCTGAGCCTAGGACCTTCTTTCGCACCTGCACAGAATATAAGCGCAACAACATACCGCAGCGTGTTGGGGTCATTACAACGATTAAGAGACCAACTCAGGATCAAATTGAAGCATGACGATCAACCGCAACCCAACGATGCTTTGAGTAGACGAGTATTACCGCCAGTTCCGTTTCCATCCTCGTTCTACAAAGAGCCTGAACCATATGCTGCCGCGGACATTAAGTTTCGAATACTCTCATTGAGCATTTTAAAAATTCTCAATGAAAACGAAACTATAAGAAAGTACAACTTGACACGCGCACAGCAAGAAGGCCTCAGAGAGTTGAGAGAGCTGACTAATAATGGCACCATTCGCCTATCAGTCAGTGATAAAAGCGGGGAGTTCGTTGTCATGCCACAAAACCTGGATCGCGAAATAACCGAACTGCATCTGTCAGATAAAACTGTCTACTAACCTGCAACCGAAAAACAGTTTATCTCACAGTGTAAGCGGTTAAACCACATATGGACAATAGTAGGTAGAGAAGCTGGTCTGCATGAAAAATTTCTCAGTAGGCTCAAAATAGAAACACCCACTTGCCCCGTTTTATATAGCTTAATCAAGACGCACAAACTGTCTACATCCGAAATGCGCTCCACTTCCGCTGAATCATACAAGATACGGCCCATCGTCAGTTGCGTAAACGGGCCAACCGATCGCATATCGTGGTTCCTCAACAAAATCATCAGCCAGCTCTTGAACAAGATTCCCGCCCACTTAAGCAATACTAATCACTTCCTTGAGTGTTTGCGTCAAACAAAGTTCACGTCCGATTGCGCAATTGAGTCATTTGATGTCGTGTCATTATACACTAATGTTTCTAATGACAAAGCCTTACAAGCTTTATCTGAGATGCTAGAGTTACATTGTAAAAATATGTTGACGTATGGTCTCAGTAAAAGCCGCATCGTGACTCTCACCAAGGAATGCTTAGATTGCAATATATTCAAATGGTCGGGAAAATATTACGCACAAACAAGAGGACTGGCAATGGGCCAGCGATTGGCACCCGTGTTAGCAATATGTTTCATGAGCAAAGTAGAAGAACCGGTGCTATCCCGAGTCCCGCTTATGTATCGTCGTTATATCGACGACTGTTGCATAGTCACGTCGACAAAGTCCGAAATGGACGAATGTTTCCGAATACTAAATCAACAGTCGAGATACATAAGTTTTACGAGGGAGGAACCGCGCGACGGTTGGCTACCGTTTTTGAACACACAACTGATGCTGAGCAATGGAACGGTTCACGTGAAGTGGTTTCGTAAAGACAGTAATAAGAACATCATCTTGCACGCAAAATCCGCACATCCAGAAGCTGTCAAACGAGCCGCCGTACGTAATATGATCAAAACAGCGACGCAGATCTGCAGCGGTAATGAGGAAAGGCAGGAGTCACTGAAGCTGGCAGCCGAAATTATAGCCTCGAATGGATATGTTATGCGACACGGATGTTCGAAAAGAAACACTGTAAAGACAGGCGAACAAGCTACCAATAGAGTACCATTATGCTTGCCTTTTATCTCCGAAAGGGTCACTGCTGCAGTCAAACAGTGTCTGATACAAGCACAGCTTGAGAAAGATGTCGTCTTAGTTAACATCCCGCGAGACAACATCAGAAAGCTGCTAATACGCAATAGATTGTACGATAAAGCTTGTATAACAATAAACTGCGTTGTGTGCCCATACGGACAATTCGGAGATTGTGCGAAATCTGGTGTTGTGTATCAAATTGAGTGTGCGAAGTGCTCTGCCATATACATTGGTGAAACCGGCCGGCCACTAGGTGTGCGTATCAGTGAACATCTAGCTAGCAAAAAGAGGCAAAGCATGATTAGTCCACTGGGAAAGCATAGAATGACCGAACATAACGGAGTTGATTACGATATCAGGTGCATAATCTTGGCCCACGAACACCAAATTTCCGCACGAAAAGCCTTAGAAGGCTCCTACATTCTTGCTCGTGAGCCCAAACTAAACAGCAAGAATGAGAAATTATCTATCGTGACTTAATGCCGTATCTGTCATACTGTAAACTATAAGATTGTGTACCCTACTTAAACAGCCCCGCAGTAGCTTGGGTGCCCATTTGACATCGCACTCGACCAAGCACACCCGAAGCGGCTGTTAGCTACAACATCGGTGATATACTTGGTGGGTGAACCTTCGCCCTCAAACTCCCTGCCTTCACTCAAGACGAATCGAGTGGCAAGTCGGTGGAGATATTTGGCGGCAGAGATCGTGTGTATCAATGTGATTGACGCCTTTTCAGCCCCTGAAGACGGCGTCTTGCCGAAACGTCGGGTAATAAAGTATATCATCTATAGCAACCTGTTACGGCATAATATAGCAATTGAAAATGTTCGTTGATTTTTTTTTCAGAAGAAGCGCAGAAAATTTTGAGCTGAGAAAAGAAAAGAAAAAAATTTGGGAAAGGGGAAAGAAAAAAAAATTTTTTTTTTCAAAAACTTTTTGATTCTACTAAAGTTTAACTTTAATATTAGAAGTCTATCTAGCCCTGAGAATGGAACGAGAGGAAGAAAATGTAAGAAAAAGGTAAGAAAATTAAGAATCTAGCAATAGAATCGCACCTGTATCCTATTCGTCGTTCGTCCAAGATGCAGTAGATAGATGGGCTTGATTGGTCGCTTGACTACGGTAGATGTGGCTGAGCTGAGGGCTTCGAAGAGAGAGAGAGTTGACGACCGAGCTGTGTGGGCGCCAAGGGCAGAATGGTTGGAGCTTAGCGCCGAAGGGGGCGGGTCAACAGAAAAATTACACTGGGTGGGCGGGGCTAGCCACTACAGTAGGAAAGTGTAAAATCAATGACCTGGTGTATTTAAAAATATATATCAATATATATATATTCTATAAATACAATGGTATTTAATTATAAATATGAATAAGAATAGTTATAACTAGTTATTGCTGTAGTTGCAGTGAATGGGCCGCTGCTACCGTTTTCGCCCAATGGCAAAGTCTGTTTCTGGAGGACGCTCTGGTAAGGTAAAATTTACAGCCCTGTGACATGTAAATTTACAACCCTTATACGCCCAATATTATTGCATAAGTTAGGCATCATACTTACTTCTGCTCCTCTTACGGTCAACTGCTCTAGAAAATGCTCTACTCAGGTTTGTGATTTTAGCCGTCCTATATTATTTCCTGTTTCAGATACTACCTCAACAAATCCTTCAAAATTCGAAAATGTTCACTTTCGGGAATAACAGCGCTGCCTCGCATGAAGCTGAAAGACAGGCCGAGCTTGCAGCTCGTGAAGCTGCAAGGGAAGTCGTACGGAATTCCTCCACTCCGACGTTGGAGGAATTGGTCCGATCCATCAGCCCATTCTCCGTAAGTTTTTAATTTTTTTTAAACATTTTTTTTATGTAGAAGGAGAGAAAAAAATGGAAGAAAAGGAAATTAAATTTATTATTTTATTTCCTGTTTTTGGATTTTTGGGGAAAGAGAGGGGAAAAAATGAAAATAAGAAAACAATAAAATTATTGTTATTATTTTTTTTTCAATCTTATTGTCGAGGGAGAAGAAAAAAATAAAATCATCTTATTTCATTTTCTCTTACTGTATGCTTTTCGGAGGAGGGAAAAAAATTGTTTTCAATTCGTCGAAAGAGAGAAAGAGAAAAAAAATCAAGATTATCCTATTTTATCGAAAGAGAAGAATAAAAATAATTTCATTCTTTTGGAAGTGAAAAAGGAAAAAAATCATTTCGTTTTATTTTCTTCTGTAGTGTGGTTTTCGAAAAGAAAATGCAAAAGATTATTTTATCTCTTTTTTTTTATCTTGATTAATTGGAAGAAAAGGATTGAATAATTTTATTTTATCTTCTTTGATTCTATTTTATTGTATGCTTTTTCAGCCTGAGTGCTTCGGAGAGGATGTGGAGGCGTCTAGTCCTCCTTCCTCTGGAAGAGCGTCGGTGGATTCGGTGGCGTTATATAACGCCACCGTCAGGGCTGAGTTGCATGCAACTCAGTCCCTGGACCGAATCCAACAGCTCGAGGGTGAGCTGAGCGTCGCCAGGAGGCAGGTTGACGCTCTGCAATGGAGCAGAGGCCTGCATATCAACGAGCTGAAGGAAACGCAGGCCCTATGCAAGCAGCACGAAAGGGTATGTTTATTTTGATTAAAAAAAATTAAATTTTGATTCAAATTTGGAGAAAAAAATTTTTTTTCTAATTCATTTTTATGTTAGAAAAAAATTTTTTTTTGAATTACGTATATTTAGAATCTCACCCGCATGGTGAGGGATTTACGGGCAGTACACAACGTGCTGCCCAAGGCCCTCGAAACGCATAGGGCCAAGCTGCGCGCCCTGCATCCGGAGGAGGAGGAAGAACTACTCCACCACTTCCTCCAGAAGGGGAACGTGGTGGAAACCTTTATAGAAATCATCACGCACGGTGAAGGCATGGTCCGCGTGACCACCGACCGGGACGAGTTCTCTTTCGGTGGATTTCTTTTTGTTTTATTCCCAAAAATTTTTTTTTAATTTGGCAGGTAATAAAAAAAATTTTCTTTTCAGCCCCTATGAGGTCGGGCCAGCGAAAGAGATTCAACCTTCACCGCCCGGACAAACTATAGCGCGCGGACCATCCCTGGGTGCGCGTGCACCCAGGGATGGTCCGCGGATGGGCGATTTCGAATGGTGAAATGTGGGCAAGCAGCTCCACTGCCGGAAAATTTCGCCAAATTCCTACTGAGGAATTTGGGGGGGGGGGATTTCCGAGGTGCAGTTGGAAAATCTGCACTGCGATTCTCTGAAAGAAGCGTGCAAGGCTCGCGGAAAAAAATACAAATACGTCGAGCGGATTTACTAATGTTTGTAATTTATTTTAATTTATTGCTGTTTTTTGAATAAACTACTTATTATAAGTGTGTATTTTATTGTACCAAAATAATGTTGTAATCAAAGTGTAGGCCACAGTTGGTGGGGTCACAGCCGTTAGGAAATATTAGGGGGGTCGTAAATAATCCTTGTTGATGCGCCGCCAAATTAATTGCTTTATTTAATGTTGATAGCAGTTGCGCTCGTAAATTTCCTGGGGGATAAGCGCGTGTGGACAGTTGCGCGGTTTAAACTTTTCCGGAGGTCAACATTCCAAGCTAGGTGTAATAGCAATTTGATTAATTGAAGCGCCTAGCATAAATAAAAATATTTATGTAGGGCTTAGGTATACCTTAGGTTTAATTTTGAGCTAGCTAAGCGAACAAGTCCATTGTCTGAAGCGTAATTACCATTTTTTTATGATTACTTAGACCTAAAAAAATTAAAAGAAGAGAAAAAAATAAAAACTTTTCGAAAATCTCGGATCTCGGATCTCGGTTCTCGGTTCTCGGATCTCGGATCTCGGTTCTCGGGAAAAAATAGCAGGGATTATATCTATAATGACGAAGTAAGAGAATAAAAAGATTTGCGGTTTCAAAAATTTTGCAGTTGCAAAAAGGGAGTGGAAAAAAATCATGGATGTTACTCCAAAAATTTCCGGTTTCAAAAAGAAAGGGGGAAAGAAAATCGAAATCTCGGTTCTCGGTTCTCGGTTCTCGGGTCTCGGTTCTCGGTTCTCGGATTAATTTATTTTATTAGTTACAAATCTAGATTTAGGAAATTTTTAGATCGACGTTGGGACTGTTCGCAGGACTTTTTTTCCAAATATTAGGTGATTTTTGTACATATTTTATTTTTCTGAAAGGATTAGACATTCTTTTTAATAGAACAGTGTCGATATGTGTAAAAAAATATTCACTAATTCGTTCGTTTGTGTCCGTCGACAATTTGTTGGAGACGAAGAGGGAAAGGGGGGGGGGAAATAAATTTGCCCAAGAGAAAGTTAATTCTCTTTTCAAAAATAATTTTTAGAATTCTAAAAATTAGGGGGTGAAAAGAAGAAAAAAAATTTTTTTCAAGCTAAAGAAACAGGGGGGGAGGATAAATTCAAATCTTCCCGGGTCCTCCATGTCAGGTTAAAGGTCTGCAGGTCCTTTACCTGATGTGTAGCGGTAAGTACATAAGTCTTATTTACTAATATTTATTATTTAAGATATATAGAGGGGAAGTGGGGAAAAGGGGAAGAGGCCGCAGGGGCAACCTGCTGGTAGCGGTCGTCGGGGGTCACTGTCCTCCAGCGGGCTTTACAACCCGCACCAAGAGGAGGGACAGCTGATGTGGACCCGACAAATCTGAAAAAGATTATCTTATTTTATCGAAGATGTCAGGTTAAAGGCTGGCCTTGCCTTTACCTGATGTGTAGCGGTAGGTACATAAGTTTGATTTACTAATATTTGTTATTTAGGATAAATATAGGGAAAGTGGGGAAAAGGGGAAGAGGCTGCAGGGGCAACCTGCTGGTCGCGGTCGTCGGGGGTCACTGTCCTCCAGCGGGCTTTACAACCCGCACCAAGAGGAGGGACAGCTGATGTGGACCCGACTCTCCATTCCTTCGAGAAGCTCGTCCTCGAGCTTGTGGGTGGCATGGCTGAGGTTTCGAGACGTAGTAGTGGTTGGCGTTGATGTGGTGGATGTTCTCCCGAGTGACGTGCGTTAAAGTCTGCACGTAATTTACGGCGAGAACATACAACTGAAGTGGTGTTATATCGAGATATAGCAATAGTTCTTCTGAGTAACGTGTGTTGGAAATTACACGTGATTTACGGCGAGAACGCACAGTGCAGTGATGATACATTAGAATACGTACAGATGTGGGGATATGGATCCAGTGGACTGCGAGCAGACAGACCTTCACCTAGAGTATGGATGACTATTACGAGAGTATGAATGACTATTCCTATTCCTACGGGTAGGAGGTCTGTACCATATTCACAGAAGATCTAGAAATTTCGATATTGTCCAATATTCGATCCATTTTAGCCATAAGCGAATCATTTGCAAAAGATGAAGTGTCGGACTGCGTTAGTTCGTAAATACGTTCAGGTTCTTCAAGTAATTTCTTGTATGTTTTTGGAAGTGGACCTAATAGCTTAAGCTTTTGCTTAATTTGATTTTGCAAGCCTTTCATAAAAATTGTATTTAGTAACCAATCACGTGTGACTGCATCACTGTCATCTGGATAAGCTTCCAAAATCTGTTGCCTGAGTCTATTCGAAAAGAGAGTGGGAGATTCTCCTGGATTCATATTCATATACATCATTCTTTCACGTGCACTATCCAAAAATTGTTCCGTTGCAAAATGAGATTTTAATTTCTGAGTGACAGTATTCCAAACTAATTTTTCTTCAGATGGTATGTTATCATACACAGCCTTTGCAACGCCTTTCAAATGAGCTGGAAGAAGGCGAACCTTCTTTTGATACTTAAACCCATTATTGAAGAAATTTCGCAAAATTGTGTAAGAAAATGCATGAATCCTTTATCTCCTAGGTCTCCCGAAAAGACTGGCAGTTTGTTACAGTAAGTAGAAAGCGTTAACTTATCGAAAACAGAATCTAAATGGTCAATAAAAGAAGCGTCGTATTGCCGAACTGCAGCTGCTTGCTGTTGCACAGGAATTGGTTGAATATGATTTTGTTGCATATGCTCATTTGGAACTTCCATGTTTTCTGAGACTAAGTTTTGATGTAGTAACTGATTTGAAAAAGATGTGATTACTGGCCGAGAAAAACTTAGCGGTGTAAAATGCGGAATTTGCTGCGATTGCACAACTGTTGTTGGGTAAGGTACGAAAATTGGCTGTTGTTCTTGGATTACGGTACTTGAATGTGATTGGTCTAGGTGTACTGTACTTGGAGTTGGTATAAAAGGTCTTGGTTGCTCTTGAACTAGTGTAGTTGGGTGTGGGACAAAAGTTGGTACTTGCTCTTGAGGTACTGTAATTGGATACGGTACAAAAGTTTGTGATTGGTTGTGAGGTACTGTAGTGGGATGTGGTACGAAAGTTGGTGTCTGTTCCGATTAGTGTAGTTGGCTGTGACTCAAAAAGTTGCGGCTGGGTTACGGTAGTTGGGTGTGGTACGAAAATTGGTGGATGTTCTTGGATTACTGTAGCTAAGTTTTGTTCTTGGGTTACTGTAGCTAAGTTTTCGGTAGAAACTGAAGATTGATTTTCTTGAAGTAAATTCTTATCCTCAAGTGGGGGCTCTGGAGTTTTAGAAAGTAGTGGTTGAGGTGAGTTCGGCTTAGATGATACTTGTTTAGATGAACTTGGTTGAGGATCGACCAGCTGAGGCGACTTTGAAATTGATTTTATTAGCTGAGATGAGTTAGAGCGCGATTTAGTTGGGTTTAGTGTGTTTACGAGTGATTTATCGGAACTAGATGAACTCAAAAGAGGAGAAGAGCTAGAAGATTCTATAGAAGAACTATCAGGAAGGGGTGCACTGCTTGCACGCTGGGTTGGACTAGTTGAGCGACTAGGTTCGTCTTGAACAAGTTGTAATTTATGTGGGATACGCGAGTGCGATCTTTGCCTTCTTTTAATGGAACCACGCGAAGTTTTATCACAAGGCTCAAGAGATTTACTAGATCCACTGCTCATGTAAATCTATCATACATGTTTTGAACCGAGCATCCGGTCCAAATATGTCGAACTACACAGCAGATTGATATTTATTAACACAGCATAACATGAACTACTGCCTAACTGCTATCAAGCTTTACCTACTTCCATTCCAGCTTCAGGATACAAATATTTCCCATGGCTCAAATCTAATCTTAGGAAGAACAATTCTAAGCTCACTACTTTCGTTCCCTTTCATGTTTACTGGCGGGTTACTATTTACCTTTCTAGACAAGATGGCAATAGCAGATAAACGTGGGGGAAGCCCATGGTACCGACCCCATAAAGAAGACTAATGGAAGAAGCCCCCGGCATGATATCGCAACTGTTTTTATACCGGCCGGCAACAAAGAACGCTCGTCTCTGCTCAGCGCGGAGACGTTCTGTCATCATGGACGGGAGTTCATGACAATACACAAAAAAAATTGTTCGTTGGATTTTTTTTCAAAAGAAACGCAGAAAATTTTGAGCTGAGAAAAGAAAAAAAATTGAGAAAGAAAAAAAAAATTTTTTTTTCAAAAACTTTTTGATTCTACTGAAATTTAACTTTGATATTAGAAGTCTATATAGCCCTGAGAATGGAACGAGAAGGAGAAAATGTACGAAAAAGGTAAGAAAAATAAGAATCTAGCAATAGAATCGCACCTGTATCCTATTCGTCGTTCGTCCAAGATGCAGTAGATAGATGGGCTTGATTGGTTGCTGGACTACGGTGGATGTGGCTGAGCTGAGGACTTCGAAGAGAGAGAGGCTTGACGACCGAACTGTGTGGGCACCAAGGGCGGAATGGTCCGAGCTAGCGCCGGAGGGGGCGGGTCAACAGAAAATTACACTGGGTGGGCGGAGCTAACCATTACAGTAAGAAAGTGTAAAATCAATGACCTTCTGTACTTAAAAATATATATCAATATATATATATATATTCTATAAATACAATGGTATTTAATTATAAATATGAATAAGAATAGTTATAACTAGTTATTGCTGTAGTTGCAGTAAATGGACCGCTGCTGCCGTTTTCGCCCAATGGCGAAGTCTGCTTATGGAGGACGCTCTAGGTAAGGTAAATTTATAGCCCTGTGACATGTAAATTTAACCCTTATACGCCCAATATTATTGCATAAGTTAGGCATCATACTTACTTCTGCTCTCCTTACAGTCAACAGCTCTAGAAAATGCTCTGCTCAGGTTTGTGATTTTAGCCGTCCTATTTTATTTCCTGTTTCAGATACTACCTCAACAAACCTCCAAACATCGAAAAATGTTCACCTCTGGAACCAGCAGCGCTGCCTCTCATGATGCTGAGAGACAGACCGAGCTTGCAGCTCGTGATGCTGCAAGGGAAGTCGTACGAAATCCCTTAACTCCAACGTTGGAGGAATTGTGCCGATCCATCAGCCTCCGTAAGTTTTTGATTTATACATTGGTTTTTGCTATACAGAAGGAGAAAAAATGGAAGAAAAAGAAATTGAATTTATTATTTTATTTCCTGTTTCTGTATTTTGGGAAAAGAGAGGGAAAAAATGAAATTAAAAAAAATAAAATTATTATTATTTTTTCCTATCTTACTGAAAGGAGAAGAAAAGAAAATTAGGAAAAAATTTATCTTATCGAATGAGAGAAAAAATAAAATCATCTTATCTCATCTTCTCTTACTATATGCTTTTCGGAGGAGAAAAGGAAATTGTTTTTAATTTATCGAAGGTAAAAAAAATCAAGATTATCTTATTTTATCGAAAGAGAAAAATAAGAATTATTTCATTCTATCGAAGGTGAAGAATAAAAAAATCATCTCGTTCTATTTTCTTCTATAATGTGGTTTTCGAAAATAAAATGAAAAAAGGATTATTTTATCTCATTTTTATTCTATCTTAATTTATCGGAAGAAAAGAATAGAAATCATTTTATTTTATCTTCTTCAATCCTATTTTATTGTGTGCTTTTTCAGCCTGAATGTTTCGGAGAGGATGTGGAGGACTTCAGTCCTCCTTCCTCTGGCAGAGCGTCGGTGGACTCGTTGGCGTTATACAACGCCACCGTCAGGGCTGATTTGCATGCAAACCAACTGAAGGAGACGCAGGCCCTATGCAAGCAACACGAAAGGTATGTTTATTTTGGAAAAAAAATAATTTTGATTCAAATTAGGGAGAAAAATTTTTTTTAAAATTCATTTTTATACAGGAAAATTTTTTTTTAATTACGTATATTTAGAACCTCACCCGCATGGTAAGGGATTTACGTTCAGTGCACGAGGTGCTGCCCAAGGCCCTCGAAGCGCACAGGGCCAAGCTTCGCGCCCTGCATCCGGAGGAGGAGGAAGAGCTGCTCCACCACTTCCTCCAGAGGGAACATGGTGGAGACCTTCACAGAGATTATCACGCATGGCGAAGGTATGGTCTGCGTGACCACCGACCGGGACAAATTCTTTTTCGGTGGGGGGTTTTTTTTAAGTTTTATTATTATTTTTTTTCAAGTGAGAAACACACAAAAATAATTTTTTTTGTTTTAATTTGGCAAGCAATAAAAAAAATTTTTTCAGCCCCTATGAGGTCGGGCCAGAGAAGGAGGTTCAACCTCCACCGCCCGGACAAGCTATGGCACGCGGACCATCCCTGGGTGCGGGTGCACATGGGCGCCTTACGCATGGTGAAGTATGGACGAGCAGCCCCACTGCCGGAAAACTTCGCCAAATTCCTTCCGAGGAATTTGGGGGGGGGGGGATTTCCGAGGTGCAGTTGGAAAATTTGCACTGCGACTCTCTTAAAGAGTCGTGCAAAGCGCGGGAAGAAGTATAAATACATCGAGCGGATTTATTAATGTTTGTAATTTATTTTATTATTTATCGCTGTGTTTGTTTTCGAATAAACTACTTATTGCAAGTGTGTAATTTATTGTACCAGAAAATAATGTTGTAATCATAGTTTAGGCCACAATTGATGGGGTCACAGCCGTTAGGAAATATTAGGGGGTCATAAATAATCCTTGTTGATGCGCGCCGCCATATTAATCGCTTTGTTTAATGTTGATAGCAGTTGCGTTCGTAAATTTCCTGGGAGATAAGCGCGTGTGGACGGTTGCGCGGTTTAAATTCTTCCGGAGGTCAGCATTCCAAGCTAGATGTAATAGCAATTTGATTAATTGAAGCGCCTAGCATAAATAAAAATATTTATGTAGGGCTTAGGTATACATTAGGTTTGATTTTGAGCTAGCTAAGCGAACAAGTCCATTGTCTGAAACGTAATTACCATTTTTCAATATTACTTAGACCTAAAAAAATTAGAAGAAGAAAGAAAAATAAAAACTTCTCGAAATTTCGGATCTCGGATCTCGGTTCTCGGTTCGCGGATCTCGGATCTCGGTTCTCGGGAAAAAATAGCGGGGATGATATTTATAATGGCGAAGTAAGATAAAAAAATTGCGGTTTCAAATTTTGCGGTTGCAAAAGGAAAGGAGAAAAAATTCATGGAGGTTACTTCAAAATTCCGGTTTCAGAAAGAAAAGGGCGTGAAAGAAAATCGAAATCTCGGTTCTCGGTTCTCGGATCTCGGTTCTCGGGTCTCGGTTCTCGGATTAATTTATTTTATTAATTATAAATCTAGATTTAGGAAAATTTTTAGATCGACGTTTGGGACTGTTCGCAGGACTTTTTTTTCAAATATTAGGTAATCATTTGTACACAAATATTTTATTTTTTTCTGAAAGGATTAGATATTCTTTTTAATAGAACAGTGTCGATGTGTGAAAAAATACTCACTAATTCGTCCGTTTGTGTCCGTCGACGGTTCTTGGAGACGAAGAGGGAAGGGGGGGGGGATAATAAATTTGCCCGAGAGAAAATTAATTCTCTTTTCAAAAATAATTTTTAGAATTTTAAAAATTAGAGGGGTAAAAGGAAAATTTTTTTTTCAAGCTAAAAAAAACAGGGGGGATAAATTCAAATCTTCGGGTCCTCCATGTCAGGTTAAAGGCTGGCCTTGCCTTTACCTGATGTGTAGGTACATAAGTTTGATTTACTAATATTTATTATTTAGGATGAATATAGGGAAAGTGGGGAAAAGGGGAAGAGGCTGCAGGGGCAACCTGCTGGTCGCGGTCGTCGGGGGTCACTGTCCTCCAGCGGGCTTTACAACCCGCACCAAGAGGAGGGACAGCTGATGTGGACCCGACAAAGAAGAAGAATAAGAATTATTTCATTTCATCAAAAGTGAAGAATAAAAATTATCTCGTTTTGTTCTCTTTTATTGTGTGGTTTTCGAAAAGGAAAATGAAAAAGATTACTTTATTTCATTTTTATTCTATCTTATTTTATCGGAAGAGGAGGATAGAAATCATTTTATCTTTTTTGATCCTATTTTATTGTGTGCTTTTTCAGCCTCAGTGTTTCGGAGAGGGTGTGGAAGACTTTAGTCCTCCTGCCTCTGGTAGCGCCACCGCTAGGGCTCAGTCACATGCAACTCAGTCCTTGGAGAAGATTCAGCAGCTCGAAGGGGAGCTGAGCGTAGCCAGGAGGCAGGTGCATGCTAATGGAGCAGGGGCCTGCACAGCAACCAATTGAAGGAGTCGGAGGCTCTACGCAGGCAACACGAAAAGGTAGTTTATTTAAAAAAATTTTTTGATTCAAATCAGGGAAAAGAAAGGGGGAGAAAAAGAAAAAAATTTTTAAGGGAAAAAACATTTCCTTTATATTGAATGTATATATTTATTTATTTATTTGGGACCTCACTCGGATGGTGAGGGAAATGAAGAGGGTGCACGAGGTGCTCCCTATAGCCCTATTTTATTATTTATCGCTGTGTTTGTTTTCGAATAAACTAGGGTGGGTGCACCGGGCGAAAATCCGTGCACCCACCCTGAGGAAGAGGAGGAACTTCTCGTCCATTTCCTCCAAAAGGTAACGTAAGCGGGGAGGGGATAGTGAGGATAACCATCAGATCGGGACAAAATATTATTCGGTAAGCTTTCTCTATTTTTTCAATTTCTTTTCCTAAAAAAATTTTTCAAATCTTGATATATAATAAAATAAAAAAAAATTTTTCAGCACCGATGCGGTCCGCAAGAAGAAGATATTCAACATATTCCGTCCCGACAAACTATGGAGAGGTAATCACCCGTAGTTGCGGTTAATTATGGGTGCGTTCCACATCGTGAACTATGGGAGGTTTGCGCCGCTGCCCGTAGGATTTGCGAAGTTCTTGCAGAGAAACCTAGCGGGGATAACGCAGGTGAACTTAGAAAATCTGCACTGTGACTTCCCGAGGGAATATGTTGGAACGCGGAAAAAATACAAGTAATCGCAGGGAGTTACTAATAGTTATTCTGTTATTGCTTGTTCTCCTCTTATTGTAAACAAAATATTTGTACTTGTAAATAAAGTTGTTGACACTGTTTAATTCATTGCACTCAAAAATAGTGTTGTAAATCTTAGTGTAAGCGACAGTTGGCGAGGTCACAGCCAATCGGAAGTATTAGGGGGTCATAAATATTCTTGTTGATGCTCGTCGCCTTATTTATTGCTTTGTTTAATGCGTATAACAGTTGTGTATTTAAATTGCCTAGGTGATAAGCGCGAGTGGACAGTTGCGCGGTTTAAATTGTTCTGGAGGTCAGCATTCCACGCTGGATGTAATAGCGATTTGATTTATAGAAGCACCTAACAAAAATAAAAATATTTATGTAGCAGCGGCGTACCCAGGATTTCGGCCCGGGGGGAGGGGCGACAAAAATTTTTTTCTAATGAAGGTGCGTGGCATCAGCCACGCTTTTGAACATGCACCAGCCAGTTGGCATAAAACGACTTCATTCCTTCACCTATCATAAATTTTTTTTCCATTCGGGTCGTGTTGTACTGTTTCTTTGATTATGAGCATCAACTTATTCTGGTGGAATGTGAAAGCAAGAGGAAAGGCGTAACATGGAGAGTGAGGTGCGCTAAAGAGATTTGGGGGAAAAAGAAAAGTTTTAAGCTGCATAAACATTGAATTCCCGTTTTGGTCCTTCCAGACCAACTAGGGCAATTTCCCTGGCGGGGCAGAGGTGCATAAAGTCGGAATATTTGAGGAATTTTGTGAAATGCGTCAAGAATAGAATCACATTTACTTTCATCACGTAAAACTATAGTGAACAACCCCAGTTTTCTGCTGAAGGGGAGTTAGCTGGCTTGTCCGGCTCAGCTCGGTCCTGTCCATTATGATAAAGCTTTCATCCCTATCCGTGTACAACTTTCCCCTGTGCCCACGTCTACATGCCTTCACTACCACTCAGTAATCAGCATGCTCGATTACCCCATGTGCTAACTCCCAGCCCCATAGCTCAAACTTTGCAAAAAATTGATAAAATCAATAGAAGTGATGGATAATTCTAGAAACTAATATCGTATTCGTAATCAGCGATCCCAGCCCCGTAGGCGTATTCTGCAAAGAAATCGATGAAAATCGATAACATCGATATCGATCGATGACGAAAAGTAGCCTATGACACCCGCCCTGCCCCGAAGTCTATGTGCACCATTGGTCCGGATCGGTTGAGAAATGGAATTTTCTATTCGGAACATACATACAAACATACATACGTAATACAGACATTCAGCTTCAAATATAAGATGAAGAAAATGCCCATAACTTCCATCTTGAAAGCGTTCCGCACATACGCAAGACAAGTTCAAGATCAGCGCTCTATGCTCGTTGCTTCCTGCGATAGGGTCACTTAGTTGTGACTTACCTTTGTAGAACTTTCAATCGGAATTAGTCTATTGGAAATTGAAGGAGCTAATTGCTGAAAACAGCATCTATTTATTGTGACGATAGCAGCGATTGTGGTGTCGCGTATGCAACTTTCTTAGCATGCATATGATAGCTTTTAAATATTGAAAACTGAGCTGAGCGTTAGCCTGATGCCTTTCGTTAAGGTGACGTTTGGTAGGCGCAAAAATCGCAACTTTGTCACAATATTATGAAGACCCTATATGTGTTGCCATGTAAGTTCTGTTGAAAGATGTACGAAAGCACACGTCGAGTATACTTTCTACAACAACATGACCGATTTCTAGCAAGCAACATTTAACTAATTGTCCGATCTGTTTTCACCTATTGCTTCAAACATGTACCTTATCTACGGCGAAGGTGACTTTTTTACCGGGCCGACTATGACTATCTTATAACGGTAATATAAGTCTGAAGTTTAAACGAGAGGTTCACATTTCTGAGATGGTCATAACCATGTCTTTTCTATCGACTCATTGCATGTAATAATGAAAAAGGCTGAATCTGGCTCCTACACTTATAAGCAGGGGGTGACCGGTGGCGGACCGAGGGGGAGGGGTTGAAAGTTACGTACATGAGATATGAGATTGTGCAAGTGAGTTATACATAGTGTCCCAAAAAGATGTGCACACTGTTTGCTCGTTAATAACTCTCTTGCTTTCGTGTCTTTTGCCGAGCTTGAGGTACCATTCTGTAAAGCGAGGATAAACTTAGATTTACAGCATAGAGCGAATCACCAATCGCTCTTCATTACTGTATGATTACGGTATGAACTTTCAGAACACATCGTCACTGTGGATTAGGCCTTTTGATGAAATAGTTTCAAAAAATTAAAAATGTGTGCAGCAAAGTTTTCAGGCGTGCTGATTTCACTACATAACTTCCCACCAGTTTTCCGAACTTTCTTAATGGCGTATTCACATTTTTGACGAACACTGGAAAATCAGTTGTTACCCTAAATCTGAAATAACTCATGAAAGAAACAGTGTACTGACGTGCAATTTTCATATTCAAAATCAGCGACTTTGATTGACCCAGTTCAAGAGTTTCTGGCTTGTTTGGCTTTTTTTCTGAGGCAAAATACCGCTTTCAATGGCTCAAAATCGTTCTCGAAATTCCTACCGTAATCCTACAGTAATGAAGAGCGGCTGATAGTTCGCTCCATACTATGAATCTAAGTTGGACCTCGCTTAAAAAAATGGTACCTCAAGCTCGGCAAAAGACATGAAAGCAAGAGAGTTATTAACAATCAAACAGTGTGCACATCTTTTTAGGACACCCTGTTTAAGTGGTAGTGAAAGTTCTGCAGCACCGTTTTCCATAGATCATAACTTCTTGCTGCATTAAGGTTCTGAGATGGCTTTGATTTTTATAAAAGAAGAAAATCACCCTTTTTACAGTCGTTACCTTGACGTGAGCTATTGAGAAAAAATGCGAGAGATACAAGCAATCCACGAGAGTTAATGGATGTAGGCATTCTTTAGCAAGGTCTCCAAAAAACTGGAAAACGGCAAAAATTTGCACATATTCCTTAACAGTGTTAACTTGCGTGCAATGGTAGACTCAGGTTCACTAGAACCGACGGAAATGACATTTTTTGATTGAAAAAAAGGCAGCAAGAACACCAATCAACAAAAATATCCACTAAAGTATCCACTAATGAATTGATAACCGGAAAGTTCTCCATTTCTGATGTGAGAAAAAATCTGGAAGTGATGCAAAAAGTCATCAAAAAGGTGCTTCGCTTCCTTGCGTGACCACACAGGAAAATAAAAAATTCAATTTTTATTCCGAAAATACAAACAATTCAATTTTAATTCTAAGTTTTCCAGATTTCGGTAAGATTAAGTCTACTGCACGTAGCAACACTGTATAGAGGAGTATGTACGAATTTTTGGGACCACTCTGCCTTCTTTCAGTATTTTTATGGACCTTGCTCAAAAATGCCAAAATCGAGCAATTCACCATTTTTTTCATCTCTCAAATTTTCTCTCATTAACTTACATTAGAGTCAAGATTGTAAAGAGGATGAATTTCCCTATTCAACGTATTTAAAGCCATCTTCAAATCTTGATGCAGCAAGAAGCTATGGCCGTAGTAATGCTCGAGCAGTTCAGGGAAAAGAGAATGAAATGCTGCAATGCTACCAAGATCTTTTTGGAAATCTTAGTTCCACGAAATGTGATGTTCATTTGAAAAAGCGACATTGCTTTCACAGTGAACTAATAAAGTCATTTTTGAAATCTTTTTGAAAAGTTCATGGTGCCTCAAAAATTTTGAGAAGCATCCCAGAATATTTTCGGAGTGGTGAAGGCCATGCACTTTCGTTCCACAATTTAATTGTCTCCCCACCCCCCTCCCCCTCAAACGGAAATCGGAAGCCGACACTGACTTTAACGTTACTATAAATTTGAAACTCGCCCCAAAACCAATTTTAACAGAGCTTCGACATTCTTTAGAATTCGTTTCCCTATTACCAAATCCATATGGAAATGACACTAAATCAAAGTTTATAATCACGAACATTCAAGCAGGATCTTCAAATTCTTCATGCTATTTTTTCCTAATAACAAAGCTGTGTTCACTGAATGTTCACTGAATCCCATGCTCACTGTAACAACAAATCAAGAAAATGGCTGGCTCAGAGACCAATGTCATTCATTGTTAAGGCGTAAACTTCATAGAGACTTTTATAATGTATAGATTCTGGCAGATTTTGTCCAATTCTATGCAAAAAAAGACAATACAAGGAGTGATTTGACTTCAGAAATGTGAAGATGACTTGGGAGAGTAGAGT